GGAATATCAACTGATATAGCTCCGGCAAAACAGAATTACAGACTGCGTGCTCTGTGCCAGCAACCGTTTTAACTTTGGAAACAATGCGGAGCATATCATCTGACATTTTCCTTCTCCCCACCATCATTCCTCCTCAGCTTTCTACATTAAATCACTAATTTGCATTTGATTGTGTCACGTTTGAATGTTAAACTGTTATCCATGGAAGAAAGAACTGGGCACTCTCCAGGAATCCTCTCACTTAAGACACAGGGAGGAAGGGATAGATTATTATTTGACAGATTCTAACCAACCTCACAGATAGGAAATGATAGAGGAGTAAGGGGGATGCCAGTCAGCTGCTTTTGAGTCTGTTTTACAGTTCAAGGAGCCTGTGACTGATCCACACCTTCCTCCATCCATTGACCTTGCATACCCTGTTATGGACTAGACAAGACCTCCTCAAAATATTTTAAGAAGGTAACCTAGACCCTAACTTTTACTTATTTTTAAGGCAGGTATAAAGTGCCTGTTCCAGATGCAATGCAACTGGTCAAACTACTCGACGTTAAGCAAAACCGCAATTTATTTAAACACTATAATTAAAATATGAACAAAAGAAAGAACTTAGAAATAACTCTTTTGGAAAGCAACCAAATAATTGATATAGTTAACTATTACTAATCCACCTGTTCCAATACAGTAGCATCCTGTAAACATACCCCTTGGTGAAAAGAAAAATTCAGAAAAAAATAGATTTGTCTCACAGGTAAGCCAGCAGCAGAGAGAAACCCCAGCTTCTAGCTGTAACTGAGTGAGGGATAAGATAGCTTCTACTTTGTCAAAACTCCAACAGCAACTGCTTAAAACGAAGCCTAAACTCTTTTTAAAAACATAAACTAGATATCCTGGTCTGTGAGAGCTGGCCACACCCACTCAGGCTGCCTCCATTGATTTAGAAATAAACCCAAGGCTTCACAAGCTGTTTGCTGAAGTGCTTTTGATGGATTACTCAGCGCCTCTGCCTTACAACCTCTCTTTAAGAACAACCAGGACAAAATACTCTATTAAAACCACAACCCATCCCTCCATATCCCTGGTTAACAAAAATCAATTGACCTCAGATTTTAAATTATTAATCGAGTTCATATCCACTGCTTTTGATAGAAGGGAGTTGCATGCTTCTGTCACACTTTGTGTGAAGAATGCATAAGAAATAGGAGTAGGAATAGGCTATATGTCCTCTGAAGCTTGCCTTACAATTCAACAAGGCCTGTTTTGTGCCAGCTCCTCATAGCCGTCAACTCAACGATGTTTGAAAAAAATGTATCCACCCCTCGTCTCCACATATTTTCAGTGATCTAGCCTCCAAAACTAGTGGTAGAGAATTCCAGACAGTGGAATAGGAGATGAAATTTCTTAACACCTCTGTTTTAAATGAGTGCCTCCTTATTCTGTCACCACATCTTCTGATTTGAAATTACGCCACTAGTGGAACATTTTCTCACCATCTACTCTGTCAACTTTCCTCAGAATCTTGTAAAATTCTTCTAAAGCCTTAATGAGAAAATGCCTAATCTGTTTTCGCTGATCTTGATGCATCGACTGCTTCATTCCAGGAATCAGCCTCATGACTCTCTCTTGAACTGCCTCCAGTGCCACTATGTCCTTTCTCTAATATGGGGGACCAAAACTGGACACTCCTGGGCCTGTCTCGCCAACTCTCTCTACAGTTCGCTTCTTAATGGCCTGGTCTGATTTTAAGATTAGAACCGCATACCTTGACTCCCTACCAACAGAAATATTCCCTCTATCCTATCGATTACTTTCAAAATCCTAAAAACTTCAGTCAGTTTGCGCTTTATGCTCAGGCAGTATGAGCATAGTTTATGGAACCTCTCATACACTAATCTATGGGGTCCACTCATTTTCTCCTGAAATTGCAGTGTACTGCTTCCACAATCACGATGTCCTTTCTCGTCTGTGATGCACAGGAATTGTACAGTGGCCCAGATCTGATATAAGCAGGGCTCTCTTCAGTTGTAATGAGATCTCCTCCCATTTATTTTCTGGCCAGTTGTTTATAACATTTTACTCCCTATTTGCATTACTTATTGGACCTAACTACCATGGTTATTGATCAGTGGATATGGGCCCCTAAATCTTCTTGCATCGCCAAGCCTTTCTTATTTAACATATAATCTGATCAGTTGGTTTTTTTTGTTCCAGGACGGATGACCTCCTCTTGCGTATGTGAAATCCATCCACAACAGTTTTGCCCACTCACTTAATCCATTAATGTCTCTCTATAAATTTATCCACACTGCTTACAGCAATCCTTGTGTTATCCTCAAACTTGGATGTGTGGCTTTCTATTACATTATCAAGTCATTAATAAATTGAGGTCTCCACACAGATCATTGGGAGACACCAATAGTTACTTCCTTCCAATTTGTGTCTGTATAAATTATCTCCACTCTCTGACTTCTACAACTGAATCAATCTCTTAACCAGGTCAATAAGTTTCCTTCAATTCCAGGCACTTAATTTTAGCTCCCTTATGTAGTACCTTATCCATTACTATGTTTCCTCAAAAAAATTCACTTGGTTTTGTTAGATGTGACCTACCCTTTGGAGATCCATATTGTTTTATCTCTCTCATTAGTTCAGCTGTCTTGTAATGATTCAATCACTTTGTCCTTAATTGCGGATCCCAGTAACAACCCCACAGCAGATATTAGGCTAACAAGTCTATAATGGCCTGGTTTCTTCCTCTTACTGTTATGAATAATGAAGGTACATTTGCAATTCTTCAGTCTAAAGAGGCAGTTTCTGAATTGAGAATACATGATGATTTACGACCAAAGAATCTGCAATTTCTTCTCTACGCTTCTGCCACAAGCTTTAAATGAACAATCAGGTGAAGGAGTTGTTAGTCTTTGCTGCTCCTATTGTTTCTAACAGTACATTCTTGCTTTCACAAAGTTCCAGTCCCTGCTTCATTATTGATTTCCCAGGATGCCAAATATATTATCCTCTTCCTCTATTGTGACAATTATCCAACAAATCTGCCAATTACTTTTATTCATTTGCAATGCTATCGATATCTGCTCTTTTAAAAGGTCTCATATTACCCTAATTTTCCTTCTAAGATATTTATGAAGTATTGTTGTGCTAATCTTGATAACCTTTCCAAGTTTTTCTTTTTGTTTGTTTGATGTCCGTTATATTTTCCCCAGTGCACTAGATTTACACTAATCTTTGCAATTTTGTGCAATCTTGTCGATAGCTCTGTTACCTCTCCCATCTTTGTTGGCTTTGGATGTTTTATTTATTAACTGCAGTTCTTTCCCCTTAGGAATAGATCAGCCACGATCTTGTGGAATGGTGGAGCAGGCTTGAGGGGCTGAATGGCCTACTGTTCCTGTTCTTGTATTAAAATATATATTTATTCATCTGCAATGAATAAGGGACTGAGTAAGAAGTCTGTCCCTGAATAGTGAAGCAAAAACTTACACATCCGTGAAACAGCTGAACTGCAGAGAGTGTGAGGACCGTGCTCATTTCAAAGGAGGTAGAATCAGTGTAGAAGCAGGCCATTCAGTCCATACCAACTCCCACACTACCCGCCACCCCTGCATAACCACAGTGGTTAGCACTGTTCCCTCATAGTGCCAGGGACCCAGGTTCCCAGGTTCATTTCCAAACTCCAATGACTGTCTGCGCAGAGTTTGCACATTTTCCCTATGTCTGCATGGGTTTCCTCCCATAGTCCATAGATGTGCAGGCTAGGTGGCTTGGCCATGTTAAATTTCCCCCGTAGTGCCAGGATGTGCAGCCTAGGTGGGTTAGCCATGGGAAATGCAGGGTAACAGGGATAGAGTAGGAGTTTGGGTCTGGGTGGGATGCTCTTCAGAGAGTCAGTGTGGATTTGTTGAGCTGAATGGCCTGTTTCCACACTGGAGAGATTCTGTGACCTCATTCGAACCCTGCATTTTCCATGACTAATCTTCCTAACCTACACATCCCTGAATACTATGGGCAAGTTAGCATGGCCAATCCACCTAACCCCCACATCTTTGGACTGTGGGAGGAAACCCACACAGACACAGGGAGGACATGCAAACTCCACACAGACAGTCACCTGAAACTGGAATCGAACCTGGGTCCCTGGCACTGTGAGGCAGCATTGCTAACCACTGAGCCACCATGCTGCCCCAAATTAAGGAAGCTGTCATCTCAGGGTGAGCTCGAATCACCAAACGTCCAGTTAACAGCTGACCGTGCTAATCCATTGCACCACAGACACCGGTGATAGGAAAGATGCTGAGTTAATGAAAGGATGAACAAGTTGGGAAACAGTGGCAGTGAAGGGATGACTGAAGGTTGTATTATGGTGATAGGAAGCATACTGCTAAAGGTGGCTTTTTACTAGAAACCTCTTGCAGGAAAGGCATCATGCTGCATCACACCTCTCCCCACCTCTGAGCCAACAAAAAAAGCAGAGAGGTAGGCAGACAGAGGGTAAAAAGATGCAAGAGCATAAAATATCACACAGAAATAGCTAGAAAGGTCCTAAATCAACAATGTGTGTGCATTGCCACAGATTTCTAGATTTGTGTTCTAGCCTGTAATATCTGAACCCCTCAACTTTGTTTTTCCTGTGTCCTTGATATATTTATGCTGCTGTATAGTTTAGGGTTGGGTTCTGTGAATTTATCCTCCAGTCATTTTGATATCATGGGTTCAGATTCTACCATTGTCACCATGCTATAAGTTCCCTAATGTTTGAAAAAAATCATACTGTGATTTATCCTAGAGGTATCAAGATTACTAACCATCGCTCTTGTTTAACTGTCAGTCAGCATTGACAAGAGGTTTGAGCCTGGATGGATCATGTAGGTTTGATGATGCTAAGTAGATATATCAGCCAAGTGATGAATAGTGATAATTGTACCATACATGTACCACATCTCCTAAAGTAGTGAGGGCAGTACTAACTGGAATCTTTGTTTCCACAGGCAGCTGCTGAAGAGTGAATTAGGTCCATTCATCACTGACTATTTCCAGGTGAGGGCACACAACATTTTGTGTTGAGCGATCATCATAATCTCCATTCATCTTTCCATAATCTTTTAAACAACTGAATACCTTAGTTAAACCAGCTTGTAACCCTCATCCAAGTTTCTCTATACTAACCAAGTGAAGGTCTTAATTAGCTTGTTTGAGCATTGTGGTTTGTTTTTATTTCATTTGTTCCTGGAATGTATGACATTGCATCCGCATTTCACCATGTGTGGCATGAGGAGCGCAAACACAACTTGAATCAATGGGTATCAGGAGGCAAATTGACACTGGCTGGAGTCATACCTGGCACATGGGAAGATGGTCGTGGTTGTTGGAGGTCAGTCATCTCAGCCCCAGGACATCTCTGTAGGAGTTCCTCAGGGCAGAGTCTGGGGCCCAACCATCTTCAACTGCTTTGTCAATGACCTTCCCCCCATCATAAGAGCAGAGTGGAGATGATTGCCAATGATTGTGCAATGTTCAGCACCATACACAACTCCTCAGATACTGAAGCAATCAATGTTCAAATGCAACAAGATCTGGACAATATCCAGGCATGGGCTGACAAGTGGCAAGTAACATGCATGCTACACAATACCAGGTAATGACCATCACCAATAAGAGTCAATAACCACTGCCCCTTAACATTCAGTGGTGTTACCATCGCTGAATATCTCACTATCAACATTCTTGGGGGTACCATTGATTTTTTTACCATTTGGGATTATCAATAGCAGCAGTGTATACTATATACAAGATGCACTACAGAAATTCACCATGGCTTCTTTGACAGCACCTTCCAAACCCCATGAGCACTTTCATCTAGAAGGACAAGGGCAGCAGATACATCGGAACACCACCATCTGCAAACTCCCCTCTGAGCCACTCACCATCCTTACTAAGAAATATATCAGCATTCCGTCTGTCACTGGGTCAAAATCCTGGAATTCCCTCCCTAAGGGCATTGTGGGTCAACCTACAGCATGTGGACTCCAGCAGTTCAAGAAGGCAGCTCTCCACCATCTTCTCAAGGACAACTAGGAGATGGGGAATAAATGGTGGCCAGACAGCAATGCCCACATCCCGTGAGTGAATTTTAAACTGAAAAGCTAGACCAGCATTTATAATGCGTTGCTAATAGCCCTGGAGAAAGTGGTGGTGAGGTACCTTTTTGAAACGCTGCAGTCCTCAGGGTGAAGGTACACCCTAGTGGTGTTCGGAGCAGAGTTTCAGCATTATTACCCAGTGATGTTGAAGGAACTTACAGTTCCAAATCAGAATGAAGTACAATTTAGATGGGAACCCTGCAGGTGTGGGTATCCTCAGGTTTCTACTGCTCTAGGCCTAGGTGGTAGAGCTTGCAGATTTGGAAGATGCTGTCAAAGGAACCCTGGCACATTGCTGCATTGACTCACATGCATAACATACACAGCTACCACTGTCTTTGAGGGCATGAATGTTGAAGGTGATGAATGAGGTGCCAATCAAGCTGGCTGCTTTGATCTGGTTGATGTTGAGCTTCTTGAGTGTGTTTGGAGCTGCTCTTATCCAGGCAAGTGTTATCCCCAAATATCCTTTTTGATGTATTGCTTTGGAGATGGGTGCATTGCTGAAAGGTCAGATTGACTGTTGACTATTATCAAGTTAATAACCGGTGTCATCCATCATCCAGTTTGGTTAACAACTGGTCTCGACTTACTAACCACATTCCCAAGGAATGAAATGGGAACTGTGTTCTGTTTTCAAATACGCGAGACACCTTTCTAAATAGTCTTGAAGCAAGATATGATCCTTGAATGTCGGCGAAAAGTGAAAATATTTGATGTGCTCTTAATTTGACATTAATTTAAAATAAAAGAAGAGGCTCCTTTCTATCGTGGCTTTCCACAGGACCTCAGGACATTCGGAAAGAACTTTGGCTGCATTCTGAGAATACTCCATTGGTTGTGTAATGTTGCAAAGTGGGCAATAGGACAGCTAATCTTGGCACAGCAAGATATGATAATGACCAGTTGCTACTTTTAAAAAAGAAATCACTAATGGGATGTTGGCGTCATTGATTAGGCCAGCATTTATTGCCCATCCCTAATTACCTAGACGGTATTTAAGAGTTGACCACATTGCTGTGGGTCTGGAGTCACATAAGGCCAGACCAGGCAAGAACGGCAGATTTCCTTTCCTAAAGGACATCGGTGGAACCTGTAGTTAAGGATTCAACCTCACTCAGCGTATGTGGAGCTATGAAATCTTTCCTGCCCACCTGAGATAGGGGGCCTTGTTCTAGTGTCTTATTCTAAAATAGCCCCAATAGGCTTCATTCCCTCTAATAATGTTTCGTCCTGAGCAGACCTCTGAGGTCTTTGTACAACTCGAACTTCCGAAACCGGAGGTCAATGCTGGGGTTGGTGGGCGGACCCTCTGGGCAACAGAGCGGTTTGGTGGGATCATTGCCAACAGGTCAACGTTGCCTCAGTACTGCACCTGAACTGTCAGCCTGGACAATGTGAGCCAAGTTGGACTTGAACATACAGGCAAGCCACCACCTACTGTTTGAAATGCCAATGAGTGGACAAGATTTTGAAGTGGGGTTTTTACTGGCTCGATTGGTGAGCAAGCCTATTCTCAGGACAACTTTGCTTTGTCCTGCTTCAGGGGCTAACAATGACAGGCTCAATACACCTCATAAAAGGCACCGAGCAGAATGCACCTGAGGATTATTGTCCTCGTCTATTATTGAATGGAGGTTATGTGTAACTTACCATCCCATATCAATGGAGTCTTTGTTACCATTGATGTCATTATTTTCTTTCAAAGTCTCTCCCATCATTTTTCATCCCTGCCTCCCTCTCCTCAAAGTTTTGCCGGTTCTTCCAGGGTGTGGCCTAGCAAGTGTTGTGCACACACTCCGCTACCTCGGTCAAGAAGGTCAGAGGCCTGTCCCAAACTGGGCACTGGGCATTGTCAGCACATTGCTGCCAATTCACTGGGTTGGCAAAAGAGTGGAGTTAGAGACTGCTCTGCCTTAGTCATACCCGGGGACTGGGACAGAGTAATACAAGAAGAGGGAAGAATAGGGAAGGAGAGAATACAGTGGTGGGGGGCAGGAGAAAGGAGAACGGTTTGAGACAGTACAGGAGAAAGGAGTAAGAGCAGGTCAATTGTAGTAGAGTTGGGGAATGGAATATGAGCAGATTAGGAGGGGATGCAAAGTAGGAGGCAGAAGAGGCAAATGGGAGGGGACGAGGAGAATGCTGGGGAGGAGGAGAATGAAAAGGGGTCAGCTACTTTCTGACAGTCGCCTGCATTTGAGTCGTGCAGATGGAAGGCGCACTGTTCCCCTATCCAATTCCTACCCCAGGCTCCACAAACTGACAAGCCTGGTGGTAGTGCCTGATGGCCTGATTGGACCATATTCAGAATCAAAATACTGGGGACAGCATGCTCCACATTGATCAGTTGAATGAAACAGAGAACAGTACAGTGCAGGGACAGGCCCTTCGGCCCACGAAGACTGCACCAACTCATGATGCCTTTCTAAACTGAAAACCATTTGCCTCTACACGGACTGTATCCCTCTATTCCCTGCCGATTTATATATCAAAATGCCTCTTAAACATTGCTATTGTATCCACCTCTACCACCTCCTCTGGCAGTGCATTTTGGCACTTACCCCACTCTGTGTAAAACAAAACTGCCTGTCACATCTCCTGTGGGCATTTCTACCCTGGGATAAAGATTCTGACTATCCGTTCTATCCATGCCTCCCATAATTTTGTAAACTTCGATCAGTTGCTCTTCATTCCTTCATTGTTCAAGTGAAAATAAACTATATTTGTCCAATCTCTCCTCATTGCTAACTGCTTCCAAACCAGACAACATCCTGGTAACAAAAACAGAAGTTGCTGGAAAAGCTCAGTAGGCCTGGCAGTATCTGTGAAGAAAAATCAGAATCCGGTGACCCTTCCCCAGAGCTCAAAACATCCTGGTAAACTCTTTCTGTAACCCTCTCCAAAGCTTCCACATCCTTCTGGTAGTGTGGTGACCCGAACTGTCCACAATATTCCAAATGTGGCCTAACTAAAGTTCCATGCAGCTGCAACATAACTTGTCAATTTTTATACTCTGTGCCCTGACCGATGAAGGCAAGCATGCTGTCCACCTGCTCGACCACCCTATCCACTTGCATTGCCACTTTCAGGGAAGTGTAGACTTATACACCTAGATCCTTCTGTATGTTGATGCTATTAAGGGAACTGCCATTCACAGTGTACTTCCCTCCTGTATTAGATCTCCCAAAATGCATCACCATGCATTTGTCCAGATTAAACTCTATTTGCCATTTCTCCATCCAAGTGTCCAGCCTATCTATATCCTCTGGCAGTCCTTTTCACTGTCTGTACTGCCCCAATCTTTGTGTCATCCGCAAACTTACTAATCAGGCCACCTCCAAACCATTTATATGTATTACAAACCATAGGGGTCCCAGCACTGATCCCTGTGGAACACCACCGGTCACAGATCTTCAGTCAGTGAAACATCATTCCACTGCACCTCTGTCTTCTACGACAAAATCAGCTCTGTATCCATCTTAACAGCTTACTATGAATCGCATGTGACTTCACCTTTTGTATCCGCCTTCCATGAGGGACCTTGTCAAAGGCCTTGCTGAAGTCCACATAGACAACATCCACCGCTCTGCCATCTGCAATCATCTTTATCACTTCCTCAAAAAATTCAATCAAGTTTGTGAGACTCAATATTCCCCACAAAAAGCTATGTTGCCTATTGCTGAAAAGTTTGTATTTTTCCACATGTGAGCAAACATTCCTCAAATAGCCGTTAAGCTCCTTTTAAATGTTACTAATTTTAGTTAATGGTTAACTTTAAAAAGCTGAAACCTCTCTAAGGCTGACTGTCTGGAACACCTCTATATCGACTGAGGCCAGTATTGACTGGATGCATTCAGGTGCCCTTGGCCACAGGAGCTAGTGCCATGATATTGA